AAGYTTATCGAAACAATCTTGCACTGYCGTGAAATGAATATGAGTAAAGCTATTCATCACGTGCCAGCCGCAGCATTCAAATTCAAAGTCCAGGAATTCCCAACCTTTACGAAAATGCTACYTGGTCTTTCTGGTAGGTTCTACAGGGACACAGCCTTGTCACSTGATCATCAYGTGMTACACAGCTATACAACAACGGCATTTCTTGTAGTRTACACCTTTGATTTGTGGAGTTGAACSACGGCGCGAAGATTGATTCCCGTTTGAGGAGATCATTGCATTTTATCCCGAACCTAAAKAACAATRGAACGATGAGTAATTCTGCGTCGTAAAAACTACTCCCCCGCAACACAATTACGTTTCCGTAACGATTTGCGTATCAGTTGATTGCGGTGAAAACTGAATCTAGAAAAAAACAATGACACGTAATAGACCTCTGAAGCTTTTACGTCATGTACYGTATACGCAATGCATTGTASGATATGTTTGGGACAGAAYATGGCGGATTTCTTTTKTTTTCTCTTGAAACTGATCCCACAATGCATTGAAAATCAAGTAGTGACGTAAAAGGTTCAGAAGTATATTGCAAATCTTTTTCGATTTGTGATTCATATTTCATTATCGCAGAAGATATCATATATTCAGGATGTGACCTTACCTTCTGAAGACCTTGACGTCATTCACAAAACTGAAAAACGACGGTTCGCAAATAAAACCTAAAAATCAATAAATATCAATACTTATATTGATGATACATAGTATTCAATAATGAAAGCATTGATATAATTATTACTTTTAAATCAGTCAATGTATCACGTGCGCATCGTAGTAGCTGTCATACCTTTATTGAAACATACATCTTTACAAGATTCTCCCATCTTTCCTTTCAATATTTTCATTTGTATCTTTGGTGGCCATTGATGCCCAGAATTGCAAAAGTCCTGTATGAAGAATCATGTGTTTTGAAATTTTGTATTCCTTTGTAGAGTTAACGTCAATTAACTTAATGCTAACATTTCTACAAACTTACTAGGTTTTCCAAAAACACGTTGACTCTCTCCAACATTCCCTTTACAGTGAATTGGTATGGAAGGTATGGCGTTTCCTGTTTTGAGAAATATAATAAATAATGAGTTTTGATTTGTAAAGGTATAGACCCCTTGCGTGTGACGTCAAAGCAGCTTCATCTGGAGGACAAAACAAAAGATTTTTAACCTCTTGGGAACTAGAATCCATTGTTTTGTCCTCCAGTTGGAGCTGCATTCCCATGAACTGCAAGGGGTCTATAGTACACAGGAGAATCAAGCATACAGTCAAGACTGCAATGGTCTTTCTGTAGTTGTTCGTGCTACCTGCGTCAATGACCGCTATATTCTGTTTCACATTCTCGCCATGAAAAGGTTGTAAACCAAGAATTGACAAAAAGATGAAGATGAGGATGAAAAAATGCAATTAAAAGAAGAAGAAAAGAATAAGGAAAATAATAACAACAAACAACAATTAATTAGTAATCAAACCTTGGATGCCAAAATCTCTCTAATAGCATTCGTTACTTCTGTCGAATTGTCGATATCTATTGTATGCACGTATGGCTTGCTGATAAAGTCTTCTGTGTAAGGGCTTTGGGATGTTAACTGTACATCAGAATAAATATCAATCAAGTCAATGGAAGTATGTCGTAAAGT